ACGGAAAGGTGAGGAGGTATAAAACCAGGGCAAGCAACTGTGGATACTAGAGACAGTGTGGGAAGAGGGTGAGTAGTGGGGCACAGGTGGGAAGAAATCAACAGAAAAAAAACATTTTACTGTCACAAAAAATGGAAAATTATATATTGATGATAATGTGTTTAGTAATATCTTTGACTGGGCTAATATATAGTATTCATGCTGAGATAACTAATTTTACATGCTGTAAAGATGTACAGTGACTGAATGAAATAAATATATGTGTGTGTGTGTACATCTATGTATGTGTGTGTATATATATATATATATATATAGGCTGGCAGATAGCATGGCGATTAAGGTGCTGGACTCCCTCATGGCCAACTATGGTTTGAGTCCTAGACCTGGAAACTTGTTTTCTCACTTTCTCTCTCTTTCTCTCTCTGGTCAAATTAAAATAATAATAATAATAAAATTAAATAAATAATTTGTTAACATATATAAATAAATAACATGCAAACTGACTAGTCCATTCTTAGCATACAATGAATATTAAATATATGTGATTGTCTTTATTTTACACATAATCAAGACTTGTTTCAAGATAATAAGTGTAAGGACATATTTATGGAGGGGCCCTGAGTGAGATGTGGGGACATGCTCTGAGCAAATACCACCTGTCCCTTGGGGCTTTGGCAGAACCTTACAACTTGTCCTTTCCTTGACCCTCACTGCAGGCAGAGCAAAGGGTAGAAATTGCTAGGGGTGTTCCAACAGACACATCTGATGGAATTCAGGAAACATCTTGACTCCAGTTAGCACAGTCCAATCCCTGCTCTGCTTCTGTGAGTTTCTTTAGCCTCTCTGGGTATGGAGGTGCACGCCTTATGGTGAGATTCTTTAGCCTTATGTTTCTTCCCCACACCTGCAGCTAGGCTTCTCTTCATTAGAAAACAAGATAATGGGATTTTCTCTTGATGAAATTATCACCAAGGGGTAAACCTGGCCCAGTACGTCTAAGCCCTTATAAGAAGTTTCATCTTGTTATGAGGCCAACAGGTGGCACTGTGGTTAAGGTATTGAACTCCGATGTGGTTGAACATGGTTTGAGTCCCAGACCTGGCAGCTTGAAACTTACACCCGGCTCATGAGTGTGAATGCCCAAAAATCCCAAGAGAAGGATGAAGGAGAACAGACTGTGAGATTCTTCTGTGTCAGAAGAAATGTATGCCATTACCCCCTGAGGGGTGATTTCTTTCATTCTGTCTCTTTGTCTCTCTCTCTCTCTCTAAGCACTCTATAGCAAATAATCTCTCAAAAAAAGGGAAAAAAAAGGTTTTATCTGATACTAAAGGGGCATACTAATTCTATTTTTCATAAAACTATGTTCCTGGATCAATGAACTTTCCATATGAAAGGATTTTTCTTATTACTAGTGATAATATAGAAACAGCAAAATATTGTAGCTTTTAACAGGAACTGAAAATCAAGGAAAATGACATACTAATGGTGATTGTGATTTTAAGGAATTCACAATGGTATTTATATGAGTACGAACAACAATGAGCAATATACATACAGGAGGGAGATATAGCTATACAAACTCACAGAAGGAATCCTAAGTGTTTGATTCAGGAAATGCAGTAATTAAGGATGTGATCGGTATACAGAGAAATGATTTAGGAATTGTGAGTTTTTTCTCCACCTGCATCTCCCTTACCCTAACAGTGAGCCTCACCAGTGAGAGAGAGAAATGTTTCAGATCTTGTGTTAGAACCTAGAATTCATCGTTCTGTAAACTGTGATTTAGTAACAATAAAAATGGCTATATTAACACTATAATTTGTATACACAGTCAATGGTTAGCACTGGTGAAATCAGATTTTAAGACTAATCTGAGAATTGATAATTTTCCTTGGTTTCTCTGATTAATTCTACAATTAAGACATAATGTTTCATAGCTTATAAACAAATATTTAATATCACTTCAAATAAATAATTGAATATCTTTGAGTTTCTTGAATGAAAAATAACAAAGTAAAGAGCAAAGGAAAAGACCCCAGCAAAAGCAATAAATGACATTCATTATTTATTACCAGTTGATTTAGAAGCATTTTTCTGCAAACACCCTATTGCCCATTAATTTACTTTTTTCTTTTCTTTTTCTTCTTCTTCCTTTTTAAAATTTTGCTACAGGGTACATGTGTTCACAAGAGAGAGAGAGAGGGAAAGTGAGAAAGAACTCCCTTTGGGAGATGACTACTCTGCAATCCCTTCTCCTCTCACAGGGCAAGTAGTGTATAGTCTTTGCTGATCCAATTTCCTATGCAAGCCAAAGTCAATTCATAGTTCTGCAAGTTTTCTATACAAGGTCAGACATATTAATACAGATCAGTGTTGATAATAAATCTACAAAAATCACTGAAATAGATTTTTTCTCTCAGCGAATGCATAATAAATGTTTGTACACTTCACTGTGTCTAGACAAACACAAGGCACAATAATAGAAAATGCTATCTGCCGTGATTGGAGGAGAGTCTACACAGTCTCTGAAAGTCCAACCATGGAGAAGTGAACTTGCTCCAACTGAGGAGGCTCATCCCTGTCTCATGAGATGAGAATAATGTTTGCTTTACAACAGGAAGCTCTTGCTTTTCCCATGTTGACTTTCTCAGCCCATGAGTCATGCTGGGAACTACTAAGGAATCTGTCCATGAAAACAGCAGGAGTTAGGAAAGAAAGGTGCTATCAAAACTGAGAAAAAGCAAGCAGGAAGGAAAAGCACTGAACTATGCAGGACAGAGGAGAGTGCAAAATCTAAAGTCCATACCTGCAGAGGGCATGGGGGTGGCTGAGGGACTGAAAAATGGATTTAAGTAGAGGTCAAGTTCCAGGCAAGTCTTGCTGGGGAAGTAATAGAATGAGAGAAGCATGGCAGGGAATAAACCAGATGTGTCAGTAGAAAGTGTGCAACTTGACCCAAATACCTGCTGCAGATGACACTCAAAATACGAACTTGCTAATGGGGTGCCCTACTGCAGAGATGGGCTCTGGAGAAAATGTGTTTACCTCACAGAGAGAAATGCTCCTTGATCAGGAGGGCACATTCAGGGCTGCCATTTGTTCCAAAACTCAGAAAGTAGCAAAACTAAACTTACTCCAAGGACCACAGGTGAGAAGACAGGCTCCCTTCCAGACCATCTTCCAAGTATGCCATGGCCTGACAGCTTGATCAGACACTCTGACTCACCTTATCTTGAAGTGTCTTATTCCAACTATGGTGACACATTGATGGGACACATGTCACCAAATTCACTCTTCCACCATTAATCAGTGGCTCATCACCAAATAGTCATGATGAAGATGCTAATGTGGCCATGAACACCTTCATGGCTCTGCTCTCCCTAACAGAGTAACAGAAACTGATATCGTTTTGCCAACCGTTGAAGTCAGGACATGGCTCTATTTTTCCTTCCTTCCTTCCTTTCTTTCTTTCTTTCTTTCTTTCTCTCTTTCTTTCTTTCTTTCTCTCTTTCTTTCTTTCTTTCTCTCTTTCTTTCTTTCTTTCTCTCTTTCTTTCTTTCTTTCTCTCTTTCTTTCTTTCTTTCTCTCTTTCTTTCTTTCTTTCTCTCTTTCTTTCTTTCTTTCTCTCTTTCTTTCTTTCTTTCTAATTGCCAGAGAAGATGAGCACTCACCAGAGAAAGACAGAGTAAGAGTGAAAGAGAAACCACCTCCTAGTAGGGTGTGGTCATGCCTCAATCTCTTCTACCCCATTTCTTCATTCTATTGAGATTTGGGACACACATGCACAAGAATTTACTGTGCTTTTCAAACCATAGGGCTGGAATTCTGCTCGTAGTCAGCCATGTGAGATCTGCTTCCTTCACCACTAGGCTACGGGACCAACCTGGCTTTTTGTTTTTTAAGTTTATTTTTATTATTTCTTCTATGAGAGAGAGAGGGAAAAGGGGAAAGAGAGAGAGAGAAACAGAGACACAGACAAGGTAACCCTCAACAGGGTTTTCATGCAGTGATTCATCCCCAGTCTCAGCCAGCATACATCATGAACACATAGGTACTTGTCATACTCAGGGAGATCCAGGGACATGAACTCAGGCCCTTTCCCATGTGGTTACAGTTCTGCTAACTGCACCACTACCTGGTTCCTGGGCTTGGCTCCTATCACTGCGCAGATGTTTTGGCTAATTAGAGTCTATTTCTCTTTCTGAAGTTTAAAGATAGTAAATATGAGTGAACTTCCAGTTGGAAAAGCAACAACACAGGCAAGCATCAACACTGTCCCTCACGAGTGCCTTTAGAGAGGGGCTGCAGCAGTCCACTGACCTGAGCTTTGGACACGATGGCCAGTAGCCGAGGCATGATGGTCATGAGCATGGTACAAAGGCCGAAGATGAAGTTCAACGAGATGTAGGAGATGAATGCCACATCTGAACTGGAGAAGATTCTGGACATCAGATACATCCAGGGAAGTGTGGCATATCTGAAAATTAAATCAATCAGGTTTATTTTACTGTTCTATTTATTCATGTAATGACTCTCATACGTGGACATGATGGGAGGGGGGGTGGGCCCTCACATATTCCTTATACATAAAAAAAAAAAAAAAAATTGCCATTTTCTTTTTTTTTTTTTTTAATAGAGATTTTTGCTACTGGGTACATGCACTCACCTGAGAAACAGACAGTGACAGAGACAGAAAATAATAAATCGCCCTCCTGGCAATGCCACAATCCCTTCTCCTCTCAGGATTTTGGGCACACATAGACACTCCCTTGCTGTGAGTTTTAAGCCGCCAGGTCAGGAATTCGAACCATGGTCGACTATGTGGGAGTCCAGCAACATAACCATTATGCCATCTAGTGAGTCGCTGTTTTCTAATAGCAGTTCATTGGTTTAGTTTAGGATACTTCAGTGCCTCCTAAAAGCCGGAGATCTCCTTAATATGGTTCTGAAAACGATGATAAAATTACAATAAAAATTACACACAGATCTGAGAGATGCTGGGCACTCAGGCAGCTACTATTTCCATAGACTCCCCTGGTCATATGAATCTATGACAATGCAATGCATCCCTGGGTTGAAAAATATATTATCATATTTCAAAAAATACAATAAATCTAAATTCTATATTGTTTCAGAGACTTCACTCAACAGGAATATGCCTCATATTTTGGTCATGAAGGCAATTATTTTAGAGTACAAGAGCTTTAAGGTGATTGTTCTAAAAGTAGCTGCTGTAAAAAAAAAAAAAAGAAAAAAGAAATTAATTAAATCAAAATAATTACCAAAGAGTTAAGTCATGACTTCTTGTAATTTTAAATTATTAATGTTTCTGACTGAAATAAAATACTACAGAGAGGACTCAATCTTCCACATAAACTCACATTCACCATGAACCTACTCTCTCTCCATTACTGTCTTTTCTGGGACAAAAACCAAGTGCTACCCTCTTTCATGTGGTTGCTTGGAGAAATAAATGAAATCATAGTACTGAAAGTATTTTTGCAACTGAAATATAAGCAGTAGTAGAAGTTTATGAGTCCCATTTTGGGGCAGCTGTAATTGTTGTAACGTTCATTCTGAGAGTGAATGAAAAATCTTTCTAATTTAACACCACTGACTTGAACTCTCTATTCCAGAACTACATGTGACAAATGGCTTTTCTTTTCCATGTGACAGCCCTTTAAATAGCAAATGATAACCATTTTGGCCTACTTAAGTCTTCCCTATGAAAGAGCAGGTCTTTCTTTGTTCCTTATACAACTTGGCATCCAGCCAGCTCTCTGTTGAATTTGCAGTGTAGGGGTGAAGGGAAGTTTGAGTAGCAGCACCTCCCAGAGTTTCCAATGTGGTTAACCTACACAACACAAAGCAAGATTGTTACCTCCTTTGATCGGTATCTCTATGTCCTGTGACACTATCAAAGAACGCAGTAGTCTCACTATAGAGCTATCAAGCATGGATACCCCCAATCAGTATGAAGAAGGTAATTACCATCTTTTTTTAGGGGGGGCGACAGGTTTTTGCTATAGGGAGCATGCACTCACCAGAAAGAGAGAGACAGAGAGACAGAAAGCAAGAAATCACCTCCCAGGGGGATGGCCACACCACAATCTCTTCTCCTCCATTCTCCTCTCAGGATCTTGGGCACACATGTACACACACCTGGCGCAAGTTTAAGCCACTGGGTCCAGGACTCAAACTGCGGTCGACTACGTGGGAGTCCAGCGACATAGCCATTACGCTAACTGCTGGTCCCGGTCATTACCATCTTTATACCAGTCTCTGCTCTATTTGAGATTGCTAAGAATCTGCTTTGTCACTCATGTATAAAGTTTCCATATGGAGCAAGGGTACTTATATATTTGACAAGTAGATCAAAGCATTATTTTTTAAAAAATAGGGATCAAAGACCTAGTCCTAAATGATGCCACCAGTGAGCTCACATTGCTACATTAATGGACAATGCTTGAAAGTGGGCTTCAACCACTTACTAGTCTACCACTTTTCTACTCCATTTCCATGCCTTTCAAATACTTGGTTCAAATGAACACATTAGCAGCTCCAGTTTCATTTTTATTTTTTTAAGAGAAAGTTAAAATGACTTTTAAAACATTATTTTTATAAAACTGATAGTGGTTTTAATACTCTCCAGTCTTTTATTAAAATGTAGTATCATTTTTAGGAGCTAAGAATTTAGAGTTAGTATTGGTCTGCTGTTCATAAATGCTCTAACATTTACTGGAGGGTTTACCCTTAAGAAACTGACCTTTTTTTCATGACCTATGAATTTTCCAAGACACTGAACAAGAGCCTGTACCTTCAGCTTCACAATCTTTGTAGCACCAAATATGCACCAAATATGTTCTTAGAGTTTTGTTTATTTGTGTAAGCCAGACTCTCTTTCATATATTTTTGGTGTTAGTTTTCTCTTTTTAATGCAAATCCTTTCCTCTTTACAGCTTTAATATCAAATTGTCCTAGATAGAGCAAAAAAAATAATAAAATTGTCACTGAGCATTTTTGTTTTATCTCTCATGTGAATCTATTTCTATCCCTTATTTCTTCAGATTCCAAAGCCCTAAAGGACCCTGTTTAAGGTCTGAACATGTTTTTAGATTCCTGTTCATTTGGGATCTAGTCTATCTGAGGTTGTTGTGGGCTCCTTGTCCCTACAGATCCTTATAGGGATAAGAGAACTGAGCCTACTCTGTCACCCTCACCCCAAGATTGTTGGGGTGCATAGGAGACCGTAGCCTCAGCTGAGTCTCTTATTGTCTCACAGTTCATCATGGGGGGGGGACACCAGTTTCTGAGTTATGCATGTGGATGTGTTCCCATGAAGAAAGAACTGATTCTGAACACTGAGTTCATCATGGCCTCCTAAGACATCACCCTGTCGCACTGACTTGCCTCCCTTGGGCTCTCCTTCCCTGGAACTGGCCCTGATGACAGTCTGAGTTATCTTTTTATATCTTTTGAATCCCTCTAACTTAACATCAAAAAGATTTTTACACCATGCCCGAGTACGCTTTATTCCAGAGATGCAAGGGTAGTTCAACATATGCAAAACTATAAATGTAATACATCATATTAACAGAAGGAAAGATAAAAAAAACATAAGATCTTATCGATAGATACAGAAAATGCATTTGATAAAATAAAACATCCCTTCATGATTAAGAATCTTACCAAAATCAGCATAGAAAAAATTTTTCTTATATATAAATTTTTGCCATAGGGAGCATGTGCTTTCTGGGGAGAGAGACAGAGACAGTCAGAAGGAAAGAGAGAAATAATCCCTCAGGGGGATGGCCACGCTTCAATCAATCCTTCCCCATTTTCCTCCTGGGATCTTGGACATGTCTGCACATAGGCCTGGCATGATTTTCAACCCACCAGGTCAGTGACTCAAACCTCAGTCTGCTATGTGGGAGTCCAGTGACATAACCACTATGCCATCTGCTGGCCCCACAGGTACTTTTTTTTTTTAACACAATAAAAGCCATATGAAAAAACCATAGCTAACGTAAACTGAAACAAGACAAGGCTGCCCACTTTCTCCACTACTTTTTAATATGATACTGGAAGTCC